CCCATTAGCTTTTTGATGCAGTTCAATTTTTCTACTCTCTGGTCACAGAAGAACCCACCAAAATCGGTTGGTAGATCATCGCTTGCATTGGATATCTGATGAGTCAATAGTAGTGATGTAGAAAAACAAGCAAATCCCAACCTCCCGGGATCAAAGGATCTCATGAAAATTGCAAAAGTCACCGCGGGACAGGTTTGATCTCAATCGTCACCAAGATACTAGTCTCTGTCGTACTTCGATATCTGACTCATTTAGGAGAGACGAACATCCGTGAAAAACAAGACGGATTCCGGCCTGGACATGAATGTATTGATCAAATTTTTACGTTGCGTCAGGTCCATGGCCTGCGTCACACCCACCGTCGACCAACGATTCCAATGTTCCTTGACCTGAAAGGAGCCTTCGACTCAGTTGACCGCGAAGCTCCGAAGGGTTCCCTTCTTGGAACAGGAATGCCTCAGAAGTAAGTTAATTTACGGAGGTCACTGTATTCACATACCTCTGGTTGAGGGGGGTTTACACCGAACCAAGTAGGCTGTTCTTCACCGGGAGCAGTGTTCATCAAGGACACCCTATTTTGCCATTCCTGTTCATTTTCATCGTAGACGAAATTTTGGAGAACACACTAAGTGGTATCTAAAACGCAGGTATTTAATGGGTAGCTGGAGAAAAGCGGTGCGATTTAGCGTACGCCGACGACTTCGTCTGTCTGTTCGGATGTATGGAGGATACGCAAAACGCACTTGATAGCCTAAAAATTGCTGGTATCACATTCTGTATATGCTTTGCACCTTCAAAGGGCAAAGTGATACTGCCGGACTGGGTGTCGCCTACTCCCGCCTCAAAATTAAATGGCTAAGGGTAAACTAAAGTTGACTGTTTCTCTTACTTTGGTAGCTGCTTGACCAACGACGGCAACGCAGCAAAGGAGATAACCGCGGACATTTCCAAAGCTCGAGCAGCATACGCAGGACTACGGCACTTTTTGCGGCGACTTGACGTTTCACTGAAGTTGAAAATTCGCATATACTGCGCCGCTGTACGATCACTTCCGCTTTGCGGCTGTGAGACTGATAGGTTAAGTCAATTCCCCCCCCCTAAAAGTGACTTTCCACTTTTTTCCTTGTTTCCCTAATTATTTTTATAAAATTTAAATTGACGGATTTTGGCTCACCGCACCACCGGTGACTCTCATTGGTCCATTTCTCCACGACTCAGGACTTTCGATCTATTTTCCAAGGTCATTGCTGGCTTGTCCACAGACTGTATATAAACGGAGGAGTTGTCCACAGTTGTTGCCTTTTTGGTCGAGCCAAATACACAACCTCGCTTGAAAGCCTATCTTCCGTGTTCTCTCTGGTCTGGTTCGGGGAACGTACGTACTACTTTCGTGGGACGTTTACTTCTGGTCCAGCGCACTGGTGTACTGTTCACTTATCCGCTAGGTCGTATGGTTGACCAGGACTAAACGATTCTACTGCATCAAGTGACCGAAGAATGCCAACTACTGGACAACTTGAAACGTGACTCCGCCCGCATTCAGCAAGCCAATCGCACCAGCCATTTGGTCAACACAGTGTGCGTACCTTACGAGACTGCAACTCGACACGGCATCTGACTTAAGAATCATCTCTGAAGACATTTGGCGAACGCTAGGTTCGCCAGTGTTCGAATCCTCGTCGTTGTCCGCGACGAGCGCATGCGGTGGCTCATTGCAATTAACTGGACAACTGCATTGCCGTGTGTCCTATCAACAAACGACCATTGATACCAGTTGTTATCTCAACCAGTCAGGTCTCGACCTTTTGGGTATCGATTGGATCGAACAGCTGGCACTGGCCGAGCTTCCAATCAACGCAATATGCCGCTCGCTGCAACCATCTTCCGTTGCCGACCACCTTGCCAACGGCATCACCCGCGACTTCCCACGGTGTTCCAGAAAGGCCTTGGCCACTGCACCTGAACGAAAGCCTTGGTCGATGGGACCAGATAAAGGGTAGTTGTGATGGACAGATGTGATTACATTTCGAAAATGAAAAATATCCTGCAAGATCACACGAAATTTCAGGAATGTGGGAAAGAAGATAGTGTAATTGCCATAGAAAAAGTGGTTTCACATGAGATACAAACATTATTAGAAGGCGGATTCCTGAATGAGTCGACAGCCAAGCGTCTAAAACCACGCGGATCGCAAATACCACAACTGTACGGTCTCCCGAAGTTACACAAACCCCAAGTACCATTGAGACCTGTCTTATCAATGACGCGTTCGTCCCAACACCAACTAGCGAAATGGCTTGTGACAATATTAAAATCGATTACCGAAAAACTGTGTTCACAGCTTCCAATTGGTAGAACTTATAAACCCTGTCAATGTGACTCACAAACACATGNCGTTGTTTACCAACGTGCCACTGAAAGAAACTGTGACACATTTACTTGTGACTTCGCACAACAGAACAACATAAAACTTCCAATCCCCTTATCAGAATTGACAAGGTTAATTCTGCTGTGCACAGAGAACATTTGCTTCAATTTTCACGGAAGATACTTCCACTAAATCGATGGTGTAGCCATGGGTCCCATCCTGGCAGACATATTTATGGCANGGCGATAACCTCATCAAAAATGTTCTGTACAAACGATACATGGACGACGTGCTGCTTATAGCAGAATCAAAGGCGGAGGCATTGAACGTATTTCAAAGTTTGAATAACGCCCACCCAAATATAAAGTTGACAGTGGAACATGAACAAAATAATAGTTTGTCCTTCCTGGATGTCAAAAAGGTAACGAAGGACCGATGGAAGCTTTGGTCAATCTGTTCATCGAAAACACACGTGGACCGGCCAATATCTGCATTTCACCAGCTTCGTCCCCATCCGTTACAAATGAGGGCTAGTGAGGACACTTAATGACCGCGCGAGAAAAATTTGTACGCCTGATAACCTCGCAGATGAAATGCTAAAACTGATTAGCACTCTCCAGAACAATGGTTACCCGAGCTCATTCCTGAAAAAGTATGGCATTGCACGTTCTAAAGTAGAGCGACCGATATCCGTACCGAAGTTGTCCTACAACTGCTGTTCAAGGGTGATGTGAGTAATTTGTTGGAGCACCGCCTATGCTCATCCATCAAACCAACATTCAACACAGCCGAACCAGTTTTCGTCTACAAATGTGACAGACTACCGGCTCCTCCAGTCAAGCAACCGCTTCCGCAGTATGCCAAATCCTATCAAGTGTACCAATTTGTCTGCGGGTGCTCGGCCACCTACCTGGGCAGAACCGAGCGGCAGCTTAGACAAAGAGTAGCCGAACACATCCCTGTGTGGGTCAACAAACTGGTGAACCAATCACATCCGAATGATCAACGTCAAAGGTCAATCCAACGCCGCACACCAGTGTCATCGATCGCTCGTCACTTGCTAGAGAATGGGCATCAAATGAACGTGACCACAGCATTTAAAAGTGTTCTCATCACGCAAAACTCTCGGTTGCTCCAGTTTGCAGAGGCGATTGCTGTTAAACAATGGAAGCCTGAACTGTGTAAGCAGTTGGGGTTATTTGTAACTCTAGCTCTACCTTGGTAGACAGATGGACGCAGATAACACCAATAGCTCATCCACGGTAAATGTTACTTGTTAATTTTCATTATATTCTTTGACTGCAGTATGTACCTTAAGAGATACAGCGAAATTTTTCCGGAAATAAATTGTGCAACACTGTGTTGCTGTGTTCTTTATTCAAGTTCATATTGGGAAAAGGCTGTTTCAAGTTCTTTCTACGTTCCCTCAAATACCTCGGCTTTATTTTTGATGCGCCCAGTATACACCCAGACCCAGAAAACGTACGCCCCATCCAACAAATGCCGGTCCCAACCGATGTTTCCAGCCTCCGATCGTTCCTGGGCCTCGTCAGCTAATAAAGTGCGTTCCTACCGAGTCTACACGAAGTCCGCGCTCCCCTGAACAAACTGCTCGAGAAAGACTGCCCTTGACAATAGTCCTCTACATGTCAAGCTACGTTCGACGATTTGAAGCGATTGTTCATCTCTAACTTTCTCCTGATACACTACGGCCCAAAGCTTCCGCCGG